TCTTTTTTAAATAAAAAAGGTCATCTTTCTCTTACGTCTTTATTGCCTTCTCCATCATTATTATGTAATACTTGTCAGCTTGCGAAAAGTCATCGATTGCCTTATTCCCGCAATGAGCGTAGGTCGTCTCATATGTTAGATCTTATTCATTGTGATCTTTGGGGTCCTCCCGTCAAATCAAATTCGGGTTTTCTTTATTATGTTAGATCTTATTCATTGTGATCTTTGGGGTCCTCCCGTCAAATCAAATTCGGGTTTTCTTTATTATGCTATTTTTATTGATGATTATTCTCGATTCACTTGGTTTTACCCTTTAAAATTTAAATATGATTTTTTTGATATTTTTTTTCAATTTAAAAAATTTGTGGAAAATCAATATTCTTCTCGTATCAAGGTATTTCAAAGCGATGGTGGTACCAAATTTACTAGTACTTGTTTCAAAACTCATTTACGTAATTCTAGCATCCACCGTCAACTCTCTTGTCCATATACATCTGCTCAAAATGGTCGTGATGAGAGAAAACATCGTCATGTGACTGAGACTGGCTTGACCCTTCTCTTTCACTTTCATCTTTCTCCTCGTTTTTGGGTTGACGCCTTCAGCACTGCAGCTTATATTATCAACCGGTTGCCTACTCCACTTCTTGGAGATAAGTCACCCTTTGAACTCCTTTATGGCTACACTCCACGATATGACAATTTTCATCCATTTGGTTGTCGTGTTTATCCTTATTTGCGTGATTATATGCCTAACAAGCTTTCTGCCCACAACATTCATTGTATTTATTTGGGTTATAGTCCTGCTCATAAAGGGTTCCGCTGTCTTGATCCCGCCACCACTAAACTATATATCACTTGCCATGCTCAATTGGATGAAACTCACTTTCCTGTTATCCCTAGCTCCTAGGCCCAACCTCTTTCCTCTATCCCTATTTCAAATTTGTTGGAACCACATCTTCATCATATTGATTCATCCCCTCTACTGCTTCATCACCGCACATTCCTTCATCCAGTTCATCCCCATGTGATATCTGTTCTGACCTTGTAGATGAGTCTGTGCAGGTTGATACTTCTATCCAGTTCATCCCCATGTGATATCTGTTCTGACCTTGTAGATGAGTCTGTGCAGGTTGATACTTCTCTTGCAGGTTCCACTTTGCCACCCTCGACTTCTAATTCAACGTCTATTGAACCTCCTGTTGATTTCTCTTCTTTGGGCACTCATCCTATGATCACACGAGCCAAAACTGGCTATTGAACCTCCTGTTGATTTCTCTTCTTTGGGCACTCATCCTATGATCACACGAGCCAAAACTGGTATATTCAAGACTCGTCATCCAGCAAATCTTGGTATTTTGGCTCATCTGGACTTCTTTCTGCTCTTCTTGCATCCACTGAGCCAAAATGATTCAAATTTGCAGCTAAGAATCCTGCTTGGGTGGCTGCCATGGATGAAGAAATTCGAGCGTTACAACAAAATGATACTTGAACTTTGGTTCCTCGCCCTGCCAACACCAACATTGTGGGCTCTAAATGGGTGTTTCGTATTAAATATTTGCCTGATGGATCCGTTGAGCATTTCAAGGCTTGTCTTGTTGCCAAAGGTTATACTCAGGTTCTTGGTCTTGACTACACTGACACTTTTAGTCCGGTTGTCAAAGCTACCACTGTCCGTGTTGTGCTTTTTATTGCAGTCACAAATAAATGGCCTCTTCGACAACTTGATGTCAAGAATGCTTTTCTCAATGGAACTCTTATTGAACGTGTTCATATGGAACAACCTCCTGGGTATATTGATCCTCAATTTCCCACTCATGTTTGTCTATTAAAGAAAGCCCTCTATGGCTTAAAGCAAGCTCCTCGTGCTTGGTTTTAGCGTTTTAGCTCATTTCTTCTCACACTTGGGTTTTCTTGCAGTCGCGCTGACACGTCCCTTTTTGTCTTTCATCAGCAATCTAACCTTATGTTGATGACATTATTGTTACCGGCAACAACTCATTTCTTATTGACAACTTTACTCACAAGCTTCATTCTGAGTTTGCTACCAAAGATTTGGGTTCTCTAAGTTACTCTCTTGGTCTTGAAGTTTCTCCCACTCCTGATGGTCTCTTTATTAGTCAGTTAAAATATGCTCAAGATATTCTTACTCGTGCTCAGTTGCTCGATAGCAAACTAGTTCACACTCCCATGGTTGTTTTTCAGCATCTGATTACTGATGGTTCTTCTTTCTCTGACCCTACTCTCTACAAATCTCTTGTTGGCGCCCTTCAGTACTTGACTATTACGCGTCTAGATATTGCCTATGTTGTCAATTCTGTCAGTCAATTCCTGCATGCCCCTACTGCAGATCACTTTCTTGCTATCAAACGTATTCTTCGCTATGTCAAAGGAACACTCCACTTTGGTCTTACCTTTTGTCCATCCACTATTCCTAGTACGCTAGTCGCTTATTCAGATGCTGACTGGGTTGGTTGTCCTGATACTCATCGTTCTACATCCGGCTATTCTATTTATCTTGGTAACAATCTCGTTTCTTGGAGTGCCAAAAAGCAACCTACTGTCTCACGCTCCAGCTGTGAATCTGAGTATCGTGCTCTTGCCACAACTGCTGCTGAATTTTTTTGGGTTACGCATCTTTTGCATGATCTCAAGGTCTCTATTTCAGAGCAGCCCTTACTCTTATGTGACAACAAAAGTGCTATTTTTTTGAGCTCTAATCCTGTTTCTCACAAGCGGGCCAAACATGTTGAACTAGATTATCATTTCCTTCGAGAACTTGTTATCGTTGGCAAACTTCACACACAATATTTACTCTCTCATCTTCAAGTTGCTGACATCTTTACAAAGAATATTTCTCGACCTCTCTTTGAATTTTTCAGATCCAAGCTTTACATTCGTTTAAATCCGACGCTCAGCTTGCAGGGGGTGTCAAGGATAGTTGACCGTTCATTATAAGACAAATATCTTTGTTTTTTTACAATGCAAATAGGAGCGGTATTATTATGTCACTGGCGCCAGATTGAAATGTCATTGAATGTATCCATTTTTATTCTAATGAGCGGTATTATTATGTCACTGGCGCCAGATTGAAATGTCATTGAATGTATCCATTTTTATTCTAATAGAATGAAATTTGATTAGATATTAAAAATAAGATAAGTAAATGGAGAATAGAAAAAAAAAATGAAGGGCACAAAGGATTCTAGAAGTCTTTGATACCAGAAAAATTCCTTTTCTTGTTCTTGTGTCGAAATAATCAAATAATTAATAATTCTTGATCCCGTTCGTCAAAGATCCCTATTTTTGGTTTCAATTTTTTGCCGGTTTATCAGAACCGTTTTTTGATTTATTACATAAGTAGTGAATAAATTCAATGAATTTATAAATTCTATTTTATATTAAAATAACTAGAGAAAATTCTATTAGTATATTTTACTATATTAAAGGGTTTGTGATATCTGATCGATAAAAATTTATTATTGTTATATTGGGATTGTGTCATCGAGAAAGAGGGAATCGAGTGATTCTCTCTTTCTTTTTTTTTCCGCTTTGAAAGTATCGACCGATACTATCGCGAAAGAGATATTTGCCTTAGTTACCATATTTGCCCTTTTATTAAAGACAAATATATTGTATTCATTTATTATTCTTTCTTTTTATAGCTATTTCCATATTATTTGTAATTTATCATATTTCTATATTTTATAAAGGATTATAAATAAGAGAACTCTCACCACCATAATTCAGCAAACATTCACACTTCTCCTTCATTGAGTAACATCAGATTCTGACCACATTTTTACGTTGAAGTTTTATAATAATTTTGTTTAGTTCTTTTTACGTCATTGACCTGGTTTTGTGTTGAAAGTTGTTTTACTACTGTTTCTTCATCTGTCACAATACATAAATGTTTATTGAATTCATTTTGAGCACAATAAATAAAAACATCGTCATATATCGTTCTAATACAAAAGGTATAACATAATTCAAAATCGCCCCCAATAGTATTAGAGTTTATTTTGCGAAGATGGAAAAGAATAACAAAATGCTTAAAGCATTAGCCAAAGCATGACTTGTAACAATGGCAACGAATCCAAAGCACAAAAGATTCCCTCATTACTCACTTTACATTCCATTTCCAATTCCAACAACCAATTTCTAAATCAATAATTATTGCACCCATCTAATTTCAATTCCTTTTTTCTTTCTTCCAAAATAAAATGGCCTTTTCCCTTCATTCGATCTTCTGCTATCCTGTTCTTCCTTTTTTCTTTCTTCCAAAATAAAATGGCCTTTTCCCTTCATTCGATCTTCTGCTATCCTGTTCAAATTGTTTGGCTGGATTAAGCAGTGGAAATGTTGATCTATTGAGCGAAATGGGATCAAAGGTACAATTTTATAGGGTGTTTCATATGATGGCGCCTTTTTAAAGCAAATCCGGAAGAAAAAAGAGACCCAAAAGCGAAATGGGTTTGTTGAACTGATTCTCGCACCACCCAACCATTGATCGCCACACAGAGACCCAAAAGCGAAATGGGTTTGTTGAACTGATTCTCGCACCACCCAACCATTGATCGCCACACCATAACCCACACATTTCGCTTCTTCCGCTTTGTTTTTTTCCTTCTTTTCCAAAAGAAAGTCATAATTTCTGTCGGTCGTCTTCTCAGTGAGTCAGCGACTGTGGTGGGTACTCCAGATTTGTTCCGATTGGCGGTTCGATGAAGAAGTAGAGACCCAGAAAACAGAGAGAGCAGGCGAAGGAAGCAAATGGGTTTGATCAGTAATCGAGTGGAGAGAAGCCAAATCAAACCAGGCGATCATATTTACACTTATAGAGCTGTTTTCGCCTATTCCCATCATGGTATTTCTCTATATACCAGGCGATCATATTTACACTTATAGAGCTGTTTTCGCCTATTCCCATCATGGTATTTCTCTATATTTCTTCCCCCCATTTTGAATTTTGAGATTCTATGCGATGAACACGATCTGAAATTTCACTTATCCCCTTATTTCTGTTTCTGGGTTTCTCTTTTTTCTGGCTGATTCTTCTATTTCTGGGAGTAAATCGCATGAACTGCTGTTCATTGTTCAGCATTATTGTTCTTGCTACTATATTGCTAATGTATATTGTCTGAGCTTCGTTTCACTTCAAGTGCATTTCTCTATAAATTGTGTGTTTCATCCTAATGCTGATAGAAATCATATTCTAAGTCCGATCCAAGCATAGCTAAACTCGTTAAAGCATACACTACTACATATTTTCCTGGTTGGACTTTTCCCTCAACATTTTTAAAATGGTCGGCGAGGGAGAAGTTTCTACACCCTTATAAACAATGCTTCATTTTCCTCTCCAACTAACGTGACGTGTCGGTGGTTCGAATTCCTACACTCCGCAGGTTTTTGTTTGATTTTGCTTTCTTTTGGCTGGATATCGATTGCCTTAGCAGGTCCTTGCAATTTTCAGCTCGTTAAGACCTGTATGCATAGGATTTTTCATTTGAAACTTTATCTATAAGATTGACAGTTTAGAACAAAACTTTATGTATAAGATTTTACATTCTAAACTAAGCACGACCATGAATCCACTGGTTTCTCCATGTAGGCATTTTTGTCGGGGGAAGCAAGGTTGTGCATTTTAGACCACAAAGAACCTTACATTCAAACACTGACACACCTCCTGATTTCTATGGTTCAAGTTCAAGCAATCCATCATCCTGTCCGGTTTTCCCTGACTGTGGATTCAAACAGCTGAACAGCGGGGTAGTCCTTTCATGTCTGGACTGCTTCCTAAGAAATGGATCCCTTTACTGCTTTGATTATGGGGTCACCCCATCAGTTTTCCTTTCCAGGGTTAGGGGTGGCACTTGCACCACTGCTACATCCGACTCGTTCGATGTCGTTATTCACCGAGCAATGTATCTTCTTCAAAACGGATTCGGAAACTACAATGTTTTCCAAAACAACTGTGAGGATTTTGCTTTATATTGCAAAACAGGCCTTCTGATTGTAGACAGGCTTGGAGTTGGAAGAAGTGGTCAAGCTACTTCTGTTATTGGTGCTCCCTTGGCTGCCATTCTTTCCTCTCCTTTGAAGCTGCTTATGCCAAGTCCTGTTGGCATTTGGTGCTCCCTTGGCTGCCATTCTTTCCTCTCCTTTGAAGCTGCTTATGCCAAGTCCTGTTGGCATGGCTGTGATGACTGCTGGAATGTACACCATGAGTCGATATGCCACCGACATTGGCGTTCGAACTGATGTGATTAAGGTGGCTGTCGAGGACTTGCCTCTTTTTCTCGAGTCAATGGGCAGCGAAGAAGAAGATGACGACGAAGATGAAGACGAAGACGACGAAGAACAAGAACAAGAACAAACTTCCACCAAGAAAAATGAAGATTCGAAATTGCTTGTGGCCAGGTGATTTCAATCCTTTTCGTGTTCCAGGGAGCTGCTTCATATAGATTTGATCCTCGACTCGAAATTGCTCGGTCTTCTCCTTTTCGTGTTCCAGGGAGCTGCTTCATATAGATTTGATCCTCGACTCGAAATTGCTCGGTCTTCTTTCCTTCTTATAGGTATGTTATTTGGTTGCACACTGTTACTTTAACCTGAATGAACTAGCCTGATCATGAATATTAAGTAGTCAGCTATATCACTGTCAGGATGTTACAGACTCACAACCAATATATGTCTGTCTCCATTAGACTTGGATGGTTTATTTTTTGTTCTTTTGATAAAATGTTTGTTAGAATGTGATTCTATCTTATTATAAGAAATAAAAAAGCTAAGCTAATGAGTTTCCTAGACTTGGTATGGTATTGATGAGGACGCTATGTGTCACGGTCATACTTGTCCAAGACGTGTTGTCTATGGCCGCATGTTGGATGTCCCGGTCATGCTTTCCAGGACGTGTTGTACTTGGCCGCATGCCCATTCTAAACCATTTTTACATGCTTTCATCTTAGATAGTTTTTTACCATTTCTTGTTGTGTCAATACGAGGGTGTATGACATTCATCAAAATCATGTATACACGCACCAAGGGTAAAATGCCTCAAAATATACGGTAAGAGATGTGACTAGTCGTAAATTCTTCATATTCTTGAGTTATATGTTATTTAAGCTGTGGTGTTTCTTTCTTTGCTTATAGTCATGTAATGTTGTTTTCTTCAATTCTTTCAAATTGTTTTCCAGTGTATTTTTCCGCTCACGTTTTTTAAAACATTTCTCGCAAACGTGACCCGAGACTCAAACATACGCTGATGTTGTTTGCGAAGTCCAAATTTCTCACGGTTCACTTATTTGCTGGATTAGAACAAGTGACGCACAATCGTTGTCCCAATACTGTAAGAGTGCGATTGTGGCACTATACACATCTGATCACACTTCATATGTCGTACAACATCTTTGTTCAAGGAATTCGAAAAACTTAGAGCTGATAACTTCCACTCTTCAACTGTGCTTGCTTCAGAAGCAATCACCGTTCATGGGTTAATTCCGTTGAACACATGAGGATTACAATATACTAAAATGACTCTTGTTTGGTTATAGTTCGAAGATCCGATTGGTTCTATACTGAATCCTCAAACCCATTCTGTACTCTTTTTTCTGTGAATATGGCAGCTCAAACACAGAAAGCTAATCTGGGAGACGGAACATGAACCATAAATGGCTAAAAATTCTTAATGTATTGAACCCAAAGTTAGAATGTTGAGCCATTATTCTTTTATGAATGGAACAAAAAACATGTCTTTTGGACAATCCTACGTTGCCTTAGACAATAAATTCCATTGCACCTTGGAGTCTATTGTCGCACAATAAAGTTTGATAGAGTAATCTAACAACTCGAAGAAAATAAAATCTCTGACAACGGTTTGGTTTGGAGAGAATAGGGTTGTTTCAATCTTAAACTTTTAGATGAGATTAGACTAAACTCGAGTGCAACAAGCTTATAAACTATTTGGATCTAGGGTTTATGTTGAATTTGGTAAGCGGATTTGAGATTATCTTCATTAAATTTGTTTAATTGAAAATATATATTTTTTTTAATGAAACTCTAGCTTTAATTTCCATGAAAGGGACGTCCAATGTTTTCTTAAAAAAAAGTAAAATGGAAATAAATTGAAAATGTTATTTTAAGGCTATATAATTCTTAAAATAAAAA